CTGGAAAGGACCTCCAGGAGCATTGAGCCCAGCCCCTTGCTATCGTAGAAAACCCTGTCACGAATCCCATTCATAAATGTATCATATTCTATCTTTAATGATTTGAATCCAATGCTTTTCTGTGAAAAGGTTTGGTTCCACCAGATCAGCATTTTTCTATAAAATATGTTTTGTCAAAAAATCCCTGACCACTTTGACTGGTAACCTTGGGGCCCCCATTCCCATCACTAATATTCAACTAGTCTTTCATGGCTTCTCATTGGCTGGAGCAAGCACCTTTTGGGGATGGGCAATATTTTGGACCAACTACTTAGCATCAAGGACTATTCGAGTCCTTCCCCCTTTTTGTCACGGAGAAGAAATTTGTTGTCTTAGCCATTGAGAATAGAGCAGGGTGACTGTCCCTGGAGCAGACTAAGATGAAAGAATTAGAACTGGTTGAAAATGTTCCATTTAAATATTTTTTGGATAGAAAATGCCTTTTCAATGTAATGGAAATTTCTACCAAAGCAAGTTCATGAGAACATAAGAACGGCCATACTGGGTCAGACCAATGGTCCATCTAACCCAGTATCTGTCTTCTAACAGTAGCCAGTGCCAGGTGCCCCAGAGGGAATGAACAAAACACTTGATGCCAGGTAATCATCAAGTGATCCATCCCCTGTCGCCCATTCCCAGCTTCTGGCAAACAGAGGCTAGGGACACCATCCCTGCCCATCCTGGCTAATAGCCATTGATGGACCGATCCTCCATGAACTTATCGAGTTCCTTTTTGAAGTTCAGTTTTCCTAGAAAAATTTCCAAAGCCGAACAATGTGGAGTTTGGGGGTTTTCAAAGAAAGTGACAAAACGTTTCTAATAAGCTTTGCTTCATTTAAACTTTTTTTTTTTTTTCAGATTTGGCTGGAAAATTATTTTTTTATGTCCTCTCGAAAAATGTCATTTCCCAACCCAGCTTCTTTCAAAAGTGTCTTAAATGAAGCAAAGTTTAATAGACATGCAAGAGAAGATCAAAGGAAAGATGACTGGTCTAATGCAGCTCTCCGTCAGAGGCCACACCTAGGAATTTCATAGCGACAGCAGAGATGGGTCAATGGCTAAACTACTGACAGTTGCCATACAAGTGTGTGTGTCAGTCTTGCCTTCTGTTTCTTTGCATCACAGAAGCTCAGCGATCAAGTCTGTCTGTGAGACGCCACCCTTGCTCCAGGACAGATCATGCCTCCAAAATCCAGGTACGAATCCGTTCATCCAAGCATGGATCTTACCCCTCCTGCAGGGAAAGGGAGGTCAGACAATTTCACAGTACAACCTCCCTCTGCCTCATGCCTTGAAGGGCGTTCTCCGTTGGGTCAGGGTTGCATGGATCGGAAGGGAGATGGAAGAGGGGTTGGACTGGGTTTGGGCAGTGAGACACGCATTGCCCCCTCCTGCTTTCCCTGTAGCAATTAGAGAGAGAAGGGAATACAGCCTGGGGGGCTCCCTTTAACTGGGGAAGAGCCCTTTAAAGGTGGTAGGGACCTGGCCAGGGGCAATCATGGCAGGAGGCCAGGTCTCCAAGCCATCGGTACTGCCTAGGCGTGGGAGGACTGTGTGACAAGCTCCTGAGCAGCTGGAGGATGCACATGACCTCAGAGGGGCATAGGACCAAAAAACCTCCTTCCCTGAAGGAACAAACTGGGATGAAATCCACCAGGGCGTTACCATGGAACAGGGCGATCCACTCCTTTGCTAGCATGTCCCCGCCCGCCAGCGGTACCCGGAGGCCACTCATGCTCTTAGATTGCTTTGAAGTGTAGGTGTGACTTGCTCTCTCCACGACATCTTCTCCTGAGGCAGCAATCTTCGCTGGCACTTAGCCTTCTGTGGTGTAACTTGCCTCTGTCTCTTTGCCCCTCTTCAGAACCACAGGTTTTATTCATGGCCACCATACTGCAGATCTGCAGTCTCAGTTCCTCCTTCGTAGATTGTAATATTTCAGAGGCTCCTTTGAACCACCTCCATTGATCTGCTCTAAGAATTATTTGCGGGGATTTTTCTGGCCTGGGTTATGCAGGAGGTCAGACTGGATGATCACAGGGACTTCTGGCCTTGGAATCTATGCATCTAGAAGCCTGTATAGCGATTAACTGAGTGTTCCCATTATCCTAGTATGTGTACAATGTATTAGACTCTACGGGCTTGATTCCCGGCTTCTGACTCCCAGTGACAACCAGAAAAATAACAGAATTAGAAATGATTCCCGGCTTGGTTCCCGGCTCTCTAAATCCTCCGGGGTTTTCCTGGTCTTGTTTGCAGGCTAGGGGGCTCTGCAGGGAAGCGTGCAATCTGGGTCTCACTGCAGTTGTCACACTCACTTCACACTTTTGTAAATCACTGCACAAGGAGCAGGACAATGAAGGATCAGGCCCTAAGCATCTAGAATTCAGCCCTAGGAGATTCTTGGCTGGGTTTGACCTGCATTTCAGCCGGAAGGAAACTCCTCTTGGGTCCACTTTTAAAAGGGGCTGTATTTCCTTAAGAGATCAAATGTGTCAATTACAGCTGAGCCCGTGGACTGTCCGTCACAGATCCAGTGGGCGTCACAGGGGGTGATTCTTGTGGGAGCATTTGTTAACGCTCCTCTAGAACATCTCTGTAGAGTTTAGGGAACTGTTAATTCATCTCCAGAACCATGTTCTGTGGCTATTAGGGGCCATCAAAATCCGATGTCTTCACTATCCAGTTTAAGGTGGATTTGTTCTCTTAAGCCAGCTCTGCATAGGACTGAAGGCTCTAGAGGCAGGAATCTAAATACATCGTGGAGTACTGTTGCCTCCTTTCTATGAACAGGACCTATTTAGCTGGGGGCGGGGTGAAAGCTCCCTGTGAATGGGGCCAGGGTTTGGGAGGATAGGAGGGGAGTGAAGATAAGTTCTGAGGTTCAGTGGGCAGGAGGGAGGCAGGCAGGTCCTGGGGGTTCCTACCTGCATCCCAACACCTTTGGGCCCCATTGCACCTGCTCCAGACTCTCTGGGTCCCATTGTCACCTCCCCCAATCCCAGCACATGTGTGTTTACATAGGGAAGGAGCCTCCATGGTATTTCCACTAAGAGCCCCCCCCCTCAGTTTTGGTATCCCTGCTATTTAGCGGTGGGTTGAAGAAGCAAAAAGCTACATGGGAATCGTTCTGTGTGTAAGCTGAGGTTTCCAAAGACACCTAAAGGCTATTAAGCATCCAGCTTCCATTGGAGGCCCCTTTAGAAATTCCCCACCTTAATTGATCAGGGGTGCCGACAGGACTAAGAGATCTGGTTCCAACTTAAGGCAGACCATATGCTCTTGCAGCACTTAGTTCATCAATAGTCTAACATCTCTTCATTTCTCCTGGAAGGAGGGTAATTCTCTTATTCCGCTTAACAAAACAAAGCCCTAGAAACCATGCTGCTGGAAAGCACCCTGCCATTGCAATGTAAACAATACCTGGTGGAGTTGGAATTTCCCCTTGGTCTGTCCCACAGCCAAGTTGTTGGCTATGGTGTCTGATCACAGACAACAGGGTTGAATTACCCTCCATGGATCATTTATACAGTTATGTTCATGAAATATGGACAGTGTTTCCTTCTTAACAAACATTTCTAATTCTGTTGCTTCTCTGGTTGTCACTGGGAGTCAGATTGCAGAGCTATTGTACTGGTCAGCCTGGTACTCAGACTGGGTGGGTCTCATTCGCACCATTAAAAGGAGGAGTGTGTTTCTGGGGTAAGAGAGATCTAGAGGGAAGAGCAGAGCGAAAGCTTGAGAAGCCACCACTAGAGGGCGCTTGGGGACAAAGAGACATTTGTGAAGCCATGTTGTAGGTTTTTAAGCTGAGATTTCTGGCCACCTGAGGGATCTGGGTAGGAATCCAGTTTCTCTAAGACCAGTTGAAAATCTCAGCCTTCAGTAAAAATAAAGTTAAACTCCAGAAAGGTAAGGGGTGGGTTGTACCCATTGTGAAGGACCAGCCACAGTACCCATTGCATGTGTCTGCTAGGGTAGGGCCAGTTTGGGGATGTCACCTGTTCCCACTGTATTCCACAAATTCTTATTCTGAACGCACTGAGTTTCATTGGTGTATTTCAGCATTTCCACAGTTAAATAAGGATTTGGGGGGGGGGGGAGAGGTGTTATAATGGTTTAGACACTGCCAATAAACATTGAGGCATGAAACCTTGCTAAACATTTGGCGCCTGCTATCCGCCCCACTCCTCTTTGTCCACTTCTTCAAATGTGTGCAGCTTCAGGGGAAAAGGAGGATTTTTTCTGGTTAATGTCCTGGCCTGAAATTCAGCAGGCCTGAGCTCATAGAATTATAGCAGATTAGGGTTGGAAGAGACCTCAGGAGGTCATCTAGTCCAACCCCCTGCTCAAAGCAGGACCAACACCCACTAAATCATCCCAGCCAGGGCTTTGTCAAGCCGAGCCTTAAAAACCTCTAAGGATGGAGATTCCACCACCTCCCTAGCTAACCCATTCCAGTGCTTCACCACCCTCCTAGTGAAATAGTGTTTCCTAATATTCAACCTTGACCTCCCCCACTGCAATTTGAGACCATTGCTTCTTGTTCTGTCATCTGCCACCACTGAGAACAGCCAAGCTCCATCCTCTTTGGAACCCCCCTTCAGGTAATTGAAGGCTGCTATCAAATCCCGCCTCACCCTTCTCTTCTGCAGACTAAATAAGCCCAGTTCCCTCAGCCTCTCCTCATAAGTCATGTGCCCCAGCCCCCTGATAATTTTCGTTGCCCTCCGCTGGGCTCTCTCCAATTTGTCCACATCCTTTCTGTAGTGGGGGGGACCAAAACTGGATGCAATACTCCAAGTGTGGCCTCACCAGTGACGAAGAGAGGGGAATAACCACTTCCCTCGATCTGCTGGCGACGCTCCTACTATGGAGACCTGCTCTCAATTGGGGTCCTCTTGTTGCTATGATAATACACCTCAGAATATTTTGGGGAGGAAAAAACAGGAAAACGACAGTTTAAAAATGACACATGCTGTTTATTGGACATACGGTACCATACGCCCGAAAGTCAAGGGGCGGTAGCCATGAGGACAAAGAATTAGAAATCAGTGCTTCAGTTTATACACCAAAAAAGCAATCACCTTTTCCTCCGGATCACACATGAAAATGACAGCGCTGAAGATAGTTTTTGGTTGCAAGGAGGACACCCGCATCTTAGAACGCATGTTGGGGCACAGATCTTACCGTATTATAGTGTCGTGTAACTATTTTCTTTGGCTAGAACAGACGGATTGGAATTTCGTGAGGCTGCCGCTACAAATTTTCTTTTTACTGTGAATTAAATGAACACGCCCAAACAGGAAAGGGATTTCAGGCAACATATATCTAGGCACGTTTGCACAGCATGAAAATGGAAATCCCCCTTCCCATCAGCTGTGAGTGATGGATTTAACTGGGCGTGGTGATCAGACAGGTCCTGATTCAGCAAAGCGCTTCAGCTCATCTTTAAGTTCACGATTCCCATGGGAATTAACGATAAAGCACGTGCCGAATCAGGAATACGGTCTGGCCTCTGTGCTGGTCAGAACCCCACATGTGAAACAGATTGCAACCAATGCTTTGGCCAACAACCTTCCTGATTTCCATGGTAAGATCCTGGCTGAACCCAATCCACGGGGAAAAGGTGAAAGGACATGAGTGAGGGGCTTAGCTCAGCTATTTACACAATGGATTTCTAAGGGCTGCACTTGCTTTCAGTAGTTAGGAAACGTGTTTTCATTCATGCAGGGATCGCTGGGGGCCTCATCTTTATCTGATGGATTTTTTGCTGGAAGTGGTCTTGGATACGATTTTCACGCTGGAGCTGCTCTTCCCGCCGGAGCTCAGACTTCCACCCAGGCCTCTTCCGCTTCCAGAGCTGAAACTGCTGCCCACTCCAACGCCGAGCCCACCTCCGTAGCCAAATCCGCCACCGCCACCGCCGCCAACGCTGAATCCGCTGCCGCCTCCCATGCTGAGACCGTAGCTGCCACCTCCGCCTCCCATGCTGAGACCGTAGCTGCCACCTCCTCCGGCACCTCCCATGGAAAGCCCACCTCCGTATCCTCCTCCTAGGCTGCTTCCAGCGCTGTATCCAGTTGAGGAGCTGACCACCGCTGCAAAACGACAAGCACAACAGCTGAGACCTCTGTGCTTTCCAGAGGGAAACCAAACCCAGACATCCACTTCATTTGGAAAAGCCAATGATAGGTCAGAGTTCGAATCACTTACAGATGCTCACGGGTCCAACTCCCTCTCCTGCCAGCCTGTTAGGGAAGAGAGAGACAGGAAGGAAAGGATGTAAGTGGCGCCCTCAACTCACAGGCAGCCAATGACCGATACAGACAGATTTGCAGACATTAAGGCCAGAAGGGACCATTGTGCTCATCTACTCTGATAACCCATGCCTGAGAATCTCCTGTAGGGATTCCTGCACCCATAAGTCCTGGTTGAGCCAGCACATATCTTTTAGAAAGGCCCCCAGTCTTGACTTAAAGACCTATAGCGATGGAGAATCTACCCTGGCCCTAGGTAAGTTGCACCTTATTTCGAGTCTGAATTGATTTAGGAGCATAGGCTGGAATTTTCAAAAAGGCCTTACCTACTCCCTTTGAAAATTCCAGCTCCATTACTTATTAGAGCCAACCGGATTGGAAATTTCAGGGAAAAACTTTTTTTAAGGCCATGGAAAAATGAAAGGGGGAAGACTGGAAGTTTTCTGAATTTTGGTGAATTTTCCCTCTCCCGTTGTTCAGCCAGCTTTGGAGCCAGCTGAAATGTGCCCAATGTCCGGATGAGATGTTTAGGTAAAACATTTAGAGTGCGGATGAAAACAATGAAAAAGGAGGGACTAGTCACCAGCCCACCTCACACATATAGTTTTGTCAGCTAGATTTTCAGCCTTATGAAAGCTTCCAGCACTAGGATTCCCATCTTTAAACTCTGAACATCAGTCAAGCATCACACATCAGTCTCATCTAATCTAGCTCACAGTACTCACAGTCATGGGATTGCATTTGCAGCACCTTATCCCATCTCTGCTCCAATTACAGCGGCATTTTACCTATCTTCTTCTAATTACTGGGACATATTTCCGGTGCCACTCGCAGTTCGCTAGGAGCTGTGCAAACATGAAGGAAGGCACCTTATTTGCTCACACAAAAATTTAGCCTTTGTTCCGTCCCTCGTTGGGTGTATGTCTACGCTGCAGTTGGGAGGTGTCAATGCTGCATGTGTGATAGACATACCCAAGGCAGCTTTGATCAGCCCAGCTCATTAAAAATAGCAGCAAAGCCACAGCAGTACAGACTAGCCGCTTGAGTCCAAGCCTGGGTGCGTACCCACGTGGGGAGCCTGTGTCACTGCCCAGTCAGGGCTAGCACGGGTTCTGCGGTCACACCTCGCCGTTGCTGGGTAGACATACCCGGAATTATAGGGTTCCAATCTCGCATCCTGCGCTCAGGGGAGCAATTGGGCTGCTCACTTGCCTCAGGGCTGTGGTGGCATTGCATCGTGCACCCACCTGCTCTCCTCTCCTTCCAGCAGCTTCCTGTAGGTGGCGATCTCGATATCCAGGGCCAGCTTGACGTTCATCAGGTCCTGGTACTCCCGCAGCTGGCGGGCCAAGTCTGACTTGGCCTTCTGCAGGGCGTCCTCCAGCTCAGCCAGTTTTGCTCGGGCGTCCTTGAGGGCCAGTTCGCCGCGCTCCTCGGCCTCGGTAATGGCCGCTTGTAGGTTGGCGCACTGCGAACCGGGAACATTGAAGTGTGGTTATTATTTAATGGGGTAACCAAATGTGAGAGTGAAAGCTCACTCTGGGCATGTAAGCCCATGTAAGCCTGGAGTAATAAACAGATCACTGAAATCATTAGCATGAGTCCCCTTTGTGCAAATCAGGAGTCACTCCACTGAAGTCAATGGATATGATTCTCTTTCGCATGCACAGATGCAAATCAGGAGTCACTCCACTGAAGTCAATGGATACGATTCTCTTTCGCATGTGACAGTGTAAGTCAGGAGTCACTGCACTGAAGTCAATGGGTATGATTCTCTTTTGCATGCTCCAGTGTAAATTGGGAGTAACTCCACTGGGTGTCATTCCTCTTTTGCTTACAGTACTGTAAACCAGGAGTAATTTCACTGAATGGAATGGGCATGAGACCCCTTTCACTTACAGTGGTGTAAATCAGCAGCCCCTCCATTAACGTGAATCAAATTTGTGTAAGTAAGGGGCAAACAGATATGTACTCAATATCAGTGGTTCTCAAGCTTATCGGCAGTGTGTATTGCATCTTGGGTAGAGTCCCTCTGGCCATGATGTGGCCAGATCCTCAGCTGGTGTAAACTAGAGCTGCTTTACTGTTTTTAATAGAGGAAGAAAGAGGAAGGATGGCCCAGTGGTTAGAGCACTAGCCTAGAACTGCTCCATGGACCACCAGAAAATTACCACTGAGAGTTAGAAGAGTTGAGTGAAAGGAGGGGCCAGTGGCTAGAGATTCGGGAGAGACATGAGCTATCACGGTAATGGAGGCCTTGCAAGTGTGAGTGCTTGGTATGCAATGCACAGCGTCCCGTGCACACTTCCTTCAGGCTGGCATCACCATTTCTTACAAAACGAGATGACCCTCAACCACCTCCCTGCTCCGAACCCATCAGCCGAACCGTTGTTCAGCGCACACGCTCCCTCCTGCCCCCGGCCTGTGCTCCACGCCCAACCACTAGCTGGCCCCAGGTCACGAGATGCTCCACCGTACCTGCTTCTTCACATTGTCGATTTCATTCCGCAGCCTGTGGATCACCCGGTTGATCTCGGAAATTTCGACCTTTGTGTTGCGCAAGTCATCACCGTGCCGCCCGACGGAGATCTGCAGCTCCTCAAACTAAATATTCAGACATAAGGGTGCGGGGGAGGGAGAACACGACCCATTACTTACTGCAGCTTGAGGAACTGGATAGTATCCATTTAAATAGCTTGGGAGCCCTATGTCTTGTACTTCAGAAGCCTCCAGACACTAGCAGGGCAAAGGTGTATGTATGCAGCTGGGCCTTGTGTGTTCATCTAGCGTTAGTAATCACAGGACTTGGAACCCAAATGTGTTTCCACTTATTCTTAATGTTGCGTCTAGAGCAAAGACACACTTGTAATTACTACAATAAAGAAAGCATTCCCAGCCTTGCACCCCAAGGACTATAGACACTGTGGCCTAGTGGTTAAAACAGTAATGTGGGAGTCACGAGACCTGGCTTCTAGTGCTGGCTCTGCCACTGACTCTTTGGGCAACCAGTGTCAAATCACTTAAACGGTACTTGCCTCAGTTTCCCCATATTTAAAACTATACTTATCCACCACTGTTAAGTGTTTTGAGAACTAATGATGAAAATCTCTGCAGAGTCATTTACTATTGTTATTACTGTGTGCAATGAGCCAAATCCATTCCTGATGTAACTTAAGAACGGCCGTACTGGGTCAGACCAAAGGTCTGTCTAGCCCAGTATCCTGTCTGCCAACAGTGGCCAATGGCAGGTACTTGAGAGGGAATAAACAGAACAGACAATCATTGAGTGATCCATCCCCTGTCCTCTACTCCCAGCTTCTGGCAAACTTGATCATTCTAAAATGTGATCCTGTACCCGTCAGAGTCAAGGATAAAGCTCCCATTGGCTACCATGGTGCTATGTGAGGAACTGAATGCAATAAGAGGAATAAAAAAAGCCCAGAACATTATTGGCCTTCAGTCCCACTCATGATCCTGGTTACTCACCTTGGACTGGTACCAAGACTCCGCCTCAGCTCTGCTCCTGTTGGCAATCTCCTCGTACTGCGCTTTGACCTCCCTGATGATACTGTCCAGGTCCAGGCTTCGGTTGTTGTCCATAGACAGGATGACGGAGGTGTCGGAGACCTGCTGCTGCATCTGGCTCAGTTCCTAGAAGATATGCAAAGCCTGGGTCATTTGCATTGTATGTAGAGCTGACACCCATGAGGCAGCTGGTGCCCTGAGATCCCTGCCCATTCTGCTGACTACTTGTGTCTCTCTGTTTCCTTGGGCTCCCCTGTCTGTCTGTCAGTCTCCGCCTTTCCCCTCTTTTTTTATACTTAGATTGCAAGTTCTTTGGGGCAGGGGATCTCTTTTTGTTCTGCATTTGTACTGCACCTAGCGCAGTGGGGTCATGGTCCGTGACTGTGGCTCCTAGGTGCTACCGTAATGCAGGTAATAAGTAGTCATAAACAATGTTAAGCAACAATTTTTCATTCAAAATGTTTTGATTTTTTTGGTGTGGACAATTTCAACCTCTAATAAAACCAAGGTTTTTTGGTTTTTTTTGGTCCATTTTGATTTAATTTGAATTAAAACCAACATTCCTTTTTGGGGCTTTTCAAAAACCGAACTCGAAAAGCAGAATGAAACCAACAAAAATGTTTGGAAATTTTACCATTGAAAATTTTGATAAATACACTGATGACTACGAGGTGCCAGGTCCCATGTTAAAGGGGACCATACAAATACCATAGATTGGCATCAGTGCCTGGTGCGGTAGGGTGGGGAACTCTCTAAGTTTCTAAAACAGTGGGGGGCAGCTGCTTACCGCTTCATACAGAGCTCTCAGGAAATTAATTTCATCTGCCAGCGCGTCTGCTTTCGCCTGCAACTCGACCTTGTTCATGTAGGAGCCATCTACATCCTAAAGGAAAGAAGACAAAGGTCACGGACATCCTGACGAGCTACAGAGTCAGCCAAAGGGCGCTGGTGACAACAGCAAAAAAACCACCTGTCCGCTGTCATCAGCCTTAGCAGAGTGTTATTGCCTGAGAAGTCACTCTATCGTGATGTACAAGTGCTTTTAAAGTGTGTGATTAAAGGGCAAGGCCGGTCCCTTCTTTTGTGGCCAGGGATGGTCCTAGGTGAGCAGAACTGAGGTAGTACCACTTGGTGCGGGAGGGGCAGTGTTGTGCCAATCGGTGCGGGGATGTTAGGGGTGTGGTGTGGGCAGAGGGATAGGAGGGTGAGCAAGGAGAGTTACGGGGGTAGGGCAGCCAGCTCTCAGGCTGGAAAGGGACATCCTGGTAGTTCTGACTGCAGTTCCTACAGCAGTTCCTGGGTAGCTGGTGCCAAGTGCCTTGTGCCAGCCCTTCTCAGCCCCGGAGACCCTGGATTTGGGGGTGGCAAAGGTTTAGGGTGCAAGAGGGTAAGGGCGGGGCTACTAGATTTACCACTAGGCATAGCCACCAGCCACTGTTTTCCGTGTAACAAGCATGCAGCCAGTAGGGAAGAGGCTTTCTTCCTCTCAGCCCTGAAGGGGTTTCATTTCCAAGGTGAATTACACCATACCAATTTACTCCAGCTGAGGACCTCGTCCACAATGTATTGCTAAACATTCCAATGCCAGTTTGAGCTGTAATTCCCAGACAGGTCCCAGTCGAGCAGGGGCTGGGGGGGTCCACAGCTCCCACTGGTGCTGGTTGGACTCTGTGGGTACCACACGCCTCTCGGACTCAGGCCCATGAGTGACGCTGCTCTACTCACCTTCTTGAGCACTACAAAGTCATTCTCTGCAGCTGTGCGCCGGTTGATTTCATCTTCATATCTGTTGAGAGAGAGTGCTCGATCAGGACCCATCAGCTTGAGTGACTAGTGGAGAAGGCACAGACCCTGCCTTGAGTGCAGGGGACTGGACTAGAAGATCTCTCAAGGTCCCTTCCAGTCCTACATTTCTATGATGCAAGCCGCTCCTATTCCAAATGATAGGGGCCATGGGGAGAGGGGGAAGGATTTTAAATCCAGAGCTGTTAGGGGCCCAACTGCCACTGAAAATCAATGGGCGTTGGGTGCCTAGATGCAACCTGTGCCTATGAAAATCTCACCACTGTGTCTCCAAGCTTAGCTAGTGGTACCAGGTCTGGTGGTAGCAGAATCCACATCGTGAAGTGGCTAATTGTAGCATTTCGCCTACAACTGCCTGAGAGGGAAATGGTCCAGTGTGTCGGGTGCAGGCACATGAGGTCAGAAACCTAAGTTCAAATCCTTGCTCTGCTACAAACTTCCCTTGGACTTTGATGGAATCATACATTTTAAAGTGACTTAAGCACTGGGAAAATGTTATCCTTCATGGCTCCATGCCTCCATTCCCCATCTTTAAGAAGGACACTAGCACTGCTAGTGAAGGGGTGTTAAGATAAACACGTTCACAACTGCGAGCTGCTCAGATGCTGTGCAGCCTGGGGCCATATAAGTACCACCAATTTTCTTTAGCTGTGGCTTGCTGAAAGAAGGGGTCTACATTTGAAAAATAGTACAGAGATCAGAACTGACACACTTGCTTAAAATCTAGCCCCAGATGTAAGGGTACCTACTGGTTGGTTACTCACCCGAAACCTGCACAGAATTACCCACATGGTTAACTTTCTGCATTCTTATTAGTCCCAGCTGAAACCCGTGGAGCTACCCACCAGGCATCAAGTTAAGCATGTGGTTAAAATCTTTGCAGGATTAGGGCCCATTATCAAGTGTCACTAATTGCTTTAGATGCAACTGCCATGGAAATGCCTGTAAATACATCATAAATCAGCCTGTCTACCTAACTGTACAATTTATTCCAAGATCTTTTAGCTGGAGTTTTGCAAAAGCACTTCGTTAAGCTAAAAATATGCTTCTGTGAAACTTCATGGCTTAGGGCTAAATCAAAGAGGCAGGGTGGGTCTTGGAAAGATAGGAGAAAGGAAGCATTATCTTGACCGTGCTGCGGCAAAGGTGATCTGGATGTCTCCAGAAGGCTTTTGCCAACTCTGTATCCGATTTTGGCATGGGAATGAGATGAAAGAGGCAACGAAGTGGGATTTGAAATAAGACACAGTCTATTTCCCATGCAGTATTTCCATCCTCCAGAAACCATAGTATAATGAGTAAAATAGACTGTATTATTTTGGACCATTAAAAAAGCCAATGAAAGATACAAATACAAAAAACACAAATGAATACTAGAAGCCAATTCATTCCATTCCACCATGCCAACATTATGTGCAGATTCCTAAAAACACATCTATCTATTTAAACTTTTCTGATCCTCAAGTGTAATTTTCTCAGATCGGCACTTTGCCAGTCTTGCTACCTAATGCTTTATAGGATGCAAAGGTTAAGAGTGTCTTGTATATATGAGCGATGGAGAGAAGGCATTTTAGATATGGGGTAAAATGTTCAAAAGCGCCTAAGTCCTACTGAAAGCCAGTAGGATTTAGGCACCTAAGTACCTGTCACTTTTGAAAATCAGAAGTCAATGGGTCTTAGTTCTAAGTGCTAGGTCACTTTTTGAAAATGGGACTTAAGCTTCTAAGTCACTTACGGTGCTTTTGAAATTTTTGCACATCAACTATACTTGTGAATATGAATTTTAAAAGCCTCTGCTGTTTAATTTTTAACAAATCAGTGGGTCAAATTCTGATCTCAGTTACGCTAGAGTAATTCCACTGACCTTCAATGGAGCTAGAGCCAGATGCTCCAAGATCAGAATCTGGCTCAGTGTATGCATCTGCTTTGAGTAGCAGCAAATGCCACATGATGCCCATGTAAGGCATTTTGATACTCAGTACAGTATGAAATGCCTGGCTTGGTTTTTCATGCATGCCAATAGCCTAGATTTTAATGCAGACTTTCTTACTTGTTCTTAAAATCCTCCACCATGTCTTGCATGTTCCTCAGTTCTGAATCCAGCCTTCCTCTCTCCCCCAAGAGGTTATCTAGCTGCCTCCTGAGGTTATTAATATAGGCGTCAAAAAGAGGCTCCAGGCTCCGTTTGATGGTCGTCTGGCCCTGTTCCTGCAGTAGAGTCCATTTGGTCTCCAATACTTTGTTCTGTTGCTCCAAGAATCGGACCTGGGGGAAAAACAGAACCCATGGGCAGGTGCTTAAACCCATTCAAACAATTCACAAAACCATTGAGGAGAAAAAAGTTGATTTGTTCAGTTCAGGGCAGAGAGCGAGAAAGAGAGAGAGAGAGATGGGAGTAGGGAGGATATGACAGGTACTTTTCATGTAGGCATTTTGGGACCAGGTGCCAGATTTTCAATGGCATTTAGAAACCTAAAGATGCAAGCGGGATTTTCAAAAGAACTTAAGCAGGTTAGGCACTTACCTACTTGGGTACTTTTGTAAAGCCCACTAGGGGCCTATCTTTAGGTGCCTAAATATCTTTGAAAATCTGGCCCCAGATTCACAACTACTTCAAATCAATGTAACCCCATTGAATCCAATGGAGCTCCACCGAATTACACTAGCGGAGAGTTTATCATCAAGTGAAAGGCTGAGAAGGATTTTTAAAAAACAACAGTTTATTGTCCCCGCAGCGTGAAATGGAGATTTAAGAAAAATTCCTGGTTTTTAAATCAGCGATTTCTCCTAATACTAATAATCCACCGCCTGTGGATAAACCATGGTGAATACAGAAATTGCCCAGGCAACACATGCTCATGGAAAAGGATAGCATTCAATTTTTTTTCTTGAAGACACTGAACAATCCAGAGAAGATACTTTGCAGCCTGTGGATTCAGGACAGGTGCTCACCTTGTCAATGAAGCCAGCAAATTTGTTGTTGAGGGTCTTGATCTGTTCCCTCTCCTGCACTTTCACTTTCTGGACCTCCGGGTCGATATCCAGGTGGAGCGGCGCCAAGAGGCTCTGGTTGACGGTCACTTCGTGGATGCCAGCGGGTGGGCAAATGGGAAACCCAGGGCCACCCCTTCCACCGAACCCAGGGCCACCCAACCCATAGCCACCGCCAGCACCACCCAACCCATACCCACCACCTCCACCGAGAGCAAAACCACCGCCTGCTCCAGCACCGAAACCAAAGCCAGAGCCTGCTCCTCCACCAAAACTGTATCCACCACCACCAAATCCACTCCGGAGACCTCCGCTGACGGTACTGTAGGAAACTCTTTTATTTCCACCTAGGCTATATAGGCTTCTGCTTCCAAAACCGCCACCGCCACCACCTCCAAAGCTGCCAGCTCTTCCTCCTCCGACCCGAGAGACAGAGACCGAGCTGAAGCTGCTTCTGCCACCACCACCGCCGCCACCAAAACCTCCACCTAAGCCAGCAGAACCTGAGCTGAAGGTCTTGCTTCCACCCCCGCTCGTTGATTTTCTCATGGAGATTCGACTCATGGTGGCTCGTTCAATTGAGAACGAAACGAGTGGGGAGCAAAGTGCAGGAATAGAAGCTGTGCTGCAGGGAGAAGAGCAGAGAGCGAAGGAGATGGAACCCCTCTGAGGTGAGAGCTGGGAGCCGCTTCTTTTATCCGCTCGGAGCACTTGGCATGGGATGCAGAGCTGAGCCGCTGCATTCATGGGCTTGACATACCTTGCAGCGACTTGTCTTGTCAAACACACCTAGGTAGCCGCCTGGCTCTGAAAAATGCATTGTTTGTGGGCAAGAAAGTAACGGAGTGCACTTACTTGCCCTTGCACAGCAGGGTTGTTGTTTTTTTAATTAAACAAGATTGTAGGCCTGATTCTGAAACTCTGACTCATGAGATTTGGCATGAAGAGGCTACTCCTGTGTGTCAGGACTAGTCGCTGGATCATCCACTATCACAGAGCTAGCGTCTGTAAACGACCACACCAGCTGCTCTATTAACGTGAACAATACAATTGACTTTAACCGGTAAAGTTACTTCCATGCTCAAAGTCTTTGCAGGGCTTGGGGGATGGTTCTTACATTGCAAAGGGGCTGCACGTTCTTATTGCAGAGGACATGATACACAATCTGCTTAGAAATCTGCATACCTAAAGACACCAATAATGCCAGTTTCGGCTATTACAGCACTGGTGTGCATATATGTGTGTGTATGTGAGAGAGAGATTTTTCAAAGGCTCCTTGGGAATTTAGACGACCAACTCTTGATCATTTTAGTGGGAGTTGGGTGTGCAAATCCTCGAGGCAATTTTGAAAGGCTTAGCTTTAAGCTTTTTTAGCTTTAATTCATTTTTTTTTTTTTTTTTTTTAGCTATGGCAAACAGAGCTGCAATTGACTGTTGAAATGGCTTTCAAAGATGAAGCCACGTTCATCACGTTCATTCCAAAAAAAAAATCGATACTACATTAGGAAAAAGAAAAGGAGGACTTGTGGCACCTTAGAGACTAACCAATTTATTTGAGCATAAGCTTTCGTGAGCTACAGCTCACTTCATCGGATGCATACTGTGGAAAGTGTAGAAGATCTTTTTATACACGATTTTCTACACTTTCCACAGTATGCATCCGATGAAGTGAGCTGTAGCTCACGAAAGCTTATGCTCAAATAAATTGGTTAGTCTCTAAGGTGCCACAAGTCCTCCTTTTCTTTTTGCGAATACAGACTAACACGGCTGTTACTCTGAAACCTGATACTACATTAGGAAGCATTATCATATGTGAATGCTCCCTAAGGAAGAGCGCTGTAGATTTGAACTGGAATGAAATCAATAGGGGTCTATAGAAATGACTTAAATTCTACAGGGTCTTTAAGGTACCACCGGACTCCTCATTGTTTTTATGGGGTCAGACAGACTCTTCAGCCTTGAAGTTATTGGAGCTACACCAGCGGAGGATACGGTCTATGGCATTTGGTACATAAGGAGAAGTCTACAGTCTGTTTGAGCCACCCTATGAAATGATACAGGAGGGATGGAATTATCTATTCAATTCTATAGGAATCTTTTTTTTAAAAAAACGTATAGAAAGGGTAGCATTTCCTATTCATTTCTATTGGACTTCTCAGTCAGGGTCAATCCTAAAAGTAAAGGAGTGAAGGTGCGTTTTTGTTGTGCTTGTTTTTCACCTGCTGATCTGCAACATTACAATATTCAACAGGAGGTTTCCAGTCATCAATGCACAGTAGTGACATTTGCTAGTGGAATTCACAGCGTTCTGGTTTTAGGTCCAATGCTGCACCTCCTCACTCAGGTTAATGCTCTCATTGCGCTTACCGCACTGGTCAAGATTTTCAGAAGTTTCTGGTGATTTTGGTCACTTTGGCTTTTGGGTGCCCTACTTGAGCCAGTTTAAGGGGGCTCTGATTCTCAGAGAGCAGTTTCTTGAAAAGCGGTCCCCTGGAAGGTATCGCAAATTGTGAAAACCCCTGAAAATCACAAGAAAATCTTTTGAAAATCTTGGCCAGTGGAATTACTCATAAGCCAGATTCTGCCAGCCATGTCTGCCTTGAATGGTACTTCGCTATGCAGTTAGTTCCATTAACTTCAATGGGATACTGCTCTGCATAAGGAAAGCAGGCAGCTGAGACCTTGTCTTGAGCTGGATTTTTGCAGAGTTAGGTGCATGAGCAGCCAGCACAGATAATGGATCCAGAATTAGAGGCTTAGGGGCATCATCATCGTATCGTAGCTTGTTTTCTGTTGGTAACTTTCCAAAACTAGTTTCCTTTGCCTAAGAACTTGAAAGAATCTGAATTAAAACAGATTTTTTTTATTGCAGTCAGAAAACCTGATGCTTGCACAATGTATGTTCCCCCAGCATTCCTGTTGCCACTTATTGCCAGTTATGTGAGTCATTAACAACTGAAGCTCATTCAGGTAAGAAATCAGGAAATTAATCATTTAATTAAACCTCCAATGGTAGGGATAAGGCTGAGTTGTAGCAAGGGGGTGCTCTAATCACGGGAGTGTAGAGTTTAGAAAGAGCTTGGTTGCTTACATATCTGGAGGTTACATTTAAAAATGTAACGTTATCTATGACAAAGATAATGACATCAGCTCCCATGTGATCTGTCCAGACATTGCCATAGCAACATGCATTCCATTCCAACATGCATTGGCTTTATGGACGATATCAAGACTTCAATCCTCCTCTCATTGATATCGACATAAGCTGTGAGTCTCCTGACCTCAGTGGACCGATACTGATGTAAAAGGGAGAGGAGAATCAGGCCCAAAGTGTCTTAGATTAATAGATACCTTCCCATAACAGCAAGGGACACATTTTCAGCAAGTGTAAATTGGCGTATATCTATTGACTTCAATGGAGCTACCTCCATTTACACCAGGTGGGAATCTGGCCCCATTTATTCCAGTGGAGCAAGTTATGCCAGCAGGACCACAGTGTGAGTATTCATGAAAAGTTTGAATTAAAAAGTATAAAATGTTCATTTTTATTTTAATGAATGAATGACTACACTGGAACGTGTAAGTATGCATGTTGCCACCAAATAATGTTCATTCACTGGGTCATTACGAAGAGTATCAAAATGTAAAACAACTGGCGGCATGAGACACTAAGGCATGGAAAGGTCGCGCAGTGTCTACTAAGTCCTCTCTTGGGCAATATTGTCATGGATTGAGGGCCAAAGCTTGCTCATTTTACTCGCTTGAGTAATCCTGTTGAGGTAAATTGAGTCACCAGCATGAGTTGGGTTTGACCTAGCAGTGGGACGTTTGCATGAGCAAAGAATGCAATGTACACTCCTTCTTTCCAACATGAATTGTCCAGCTGTTTTGCAGAGGGTCAACCTCTACTCACATTTTGTCATCTGCATGATCAGGAGCGAGGCTGATTGCATAAATCAGGCTACCAGGGCATGGTACTAAAAGATCAGAAGTGTCGGTTTGCCTCATAATAATACTATTAATACCTGGCCTTTCTATAGCTAGGCTTGGCAGACTTTGATTTCTATTTTTTTTATATAAATCTGACCAATATCAATGTCTATTTTTAGGCATTTTTAAAATGTTTCTCAATTTAAATGTTCAGTTGCACAAAATTATGGATTTTAAGCATGTTTTTATTTTTATCTATTTACATTTTAGAAATTGCAGGAAGTTGTGTGGAGGTCAGAGAGTGCGTGTAGGGGGGGACACACACAATATTTTTTTAATGACATTGAGATTCAAAAAGTTAAAACGTTATCATGGTTAAATATGCAACGTAACTATCCTTAAATCAAACTCTAATAAGTTCTCAAGCTGCATTTTTCTTCCTCTGCCTGTCTGTGAATTCTGATGGTTATCAATCAAAATATTATTTTGTTGGTTGGCGTGTGTACTGTGAGGTCAACTGTTACCGACATTTACTGATAAAAATCTAGTCCTTCCAAGCTTATAGCTCACAAAGCACTTTACAAAGGAGGGCAGTATCATTATCCTCTTTTTACATTTAGGGAAACAGAGGCACACAGCAGGAAGTGATGTCATCCAGAAGGGCAGCTGGTTGCTTCTACTTCCATTTCTGTCTGTGGTGTTGTTTTTGCATCAGACATCAAGTGTGGTACATCCTAACAAGGAGCAATAGGTCTAGTTCTCTTTTGACACCTCTGTAGCTCCTTTGACGTCAATGAAGTCACTGACACCTCTTTAAGGGAGAGAAGAATCGGTCCTAATACTTTTAGGCTTCTGGCAGGAAAAAAAAAAAGACTTGAAAATATCTTGTCCTGGTTTTATGCCTTTTGTTTATTTGCTTTAGTCATTGTTTGATGGCATTCCAGTATTAATAATAAACTAATAGTTTGTGTTCCAACAGCACATCCATGGCTCAGCACCCCAGCGTGCTAGGCTCTGTACATATATAGAACAAAAAGATGCTTCCAGTCCAAAAATATTTTAGAGTCTAAGTAAGGTTTTCTTAGGTGGTCCTTTTAAAAATGCAAGAGCTCACTCTGCCTGACACCAATCACTGATTTCAATGGGAGCTTGAAGTCAGACCTCTGAAAATCAGGTCGTTTTATTTAGGTGCCTAAATCTGGCTTTAGGGGACTGACTTCAGGCACCTGGGTATGAAAATTTAGCCCTGGGTTTATATTTCAGTTTGCAAGAAAATTGAATTTGCTTGGCATTTATATAGCACTTTAAACCCTCAAAAAGCACTTTGCAAATGTAAAGTCCCAAGGGCAGCTCCTCAGCTGGTCACGACAATTGCCACCAGCTGGTGGATCTACCCCCAAATCTGCAAGGGGCCATGTGTTCTCAGCTCCCGTTAGCTTTAAAGGGAGATAAAAATGCACTGCGCCTCCCAGGGTGGGGCATGTTAACCACTGCAATGAATCCTTGCAACACCTCTGCAAAGTACACGATCGTGATCTTCATTTTACACGTGGGAGAAACTGAGGCCCATCAAAGTTGTGCCCTACCCTGTCCTATATGGCAAAGAAGTGGCAGCTGAGACTGGAATCCTGGCATGCCTTTCTCCCAGCAACTTTTCCCTTCCTGTTTGTCTTATGCTGCACCCCCTTTATATACAAATACATCTCAGATTTTGTCTACGCTGAGCGGGGATTCTTACACTTTTCAGATTTCTGGGCTGAGCAAAATGACTGGGGTTTTTTTCTCTGTAACATTATAACATCCAAATCAGGTTTCTAGTTCAGTAGAATTTCCTCCCAGTCTGAGATCTTGCTCTCGTGTTCAGAGGAAAGCTCTCCTGGAAAGACAGTGAATTCCAGTGTCTCCCAGCCCTGCGGGGTTGTTTGTGCTGCTGGGATACAGGTTTCTTTCGCGATTGTTGTATGTCAAGGTGATTTATTCTCAAAGAAGCCTATTTTGCAAAGAGGCTGTGCACAGAGTTAATTTGTCGTCTTCTGCTTCTGAACATTTATGCGTTCTAGCAACATTGTGTATTCACCGGAAAACTGGACCGATTCTGCCATCAGTTAAATCTGGAGTGAGCAGTAGCTCACGAAAGCTTATGCTCAAATAAATTGGTTAGTCTCTAAAGTGCCACTAGTACTCCTTTTCTTTTTGCGAATACAGACTGACACGGTTGTTACTCTGAAACCTGACTTCAAATGAGTTAATCTGTATTTGCACTGGTGTAAATCAGGGATGAATTTGGCCCAATGTCTCTATATAAGGCATTTCTCAATTGACAGAGAGACACTGGACCAGATCATTAAGAGGTATTGTGGGCTAATAACTAGGGCATTAAACTGGGATTCAGGAGACACAGGTTTTATTCTTCACTCTGCCACTCACCTGCTGTGTGACCCTGGGCATTCGTGTTCTGTCTTTGTGCCTATGTTTACTCTCTTTCTTGTTTATTATGTGGTTGTAGGGTGTGGTCTGTTACAATGGAACCTGGAGCTCAGCCAGGATCTCTACATCATGTTGTAGGAATAACAACAACAACTAGTGAAATCATAATGGGGTTACATTTTATATACATGGGTGTAACTGAGATTAGCATCTGACACCTGTGATTTTGGTAATGACTGGATTTAAGTTAGACCGAAACCGAGTCAATCCTTAATCCACATCATCTTCAAGCTATGCCACTTAGAAGGACTAGGATTGAAACTGTGATTGTCAGAATTATAATTAGTTGGGGAAATCAATAAATAAAGGCCTGAGCTTCCTTTAAGATAAGCCTAACACAACAGCATCAATCCACTCTGTGAACAGTTATTACAAAAGTGCAAGGAAGAAATCCTAGGTGAACATTTCTGAATGCATCCCATGATGTGAGCTGTAGCTCATGAAAGCTTATGCTCAAATAAATTGGTTAGTCTCTAAGGTGCCACAAGTCCTCCTGTTCTTTTTGCGAATACAGACTAACACGGCTGCTACTCTGAAACATTTCTAAAATAGTTTTACAATCATGTGTTTTCTTGCTACATGAAGCACTCTAAACCCTAAATTCGGAAGTTACGTAAATCGGGGATTAATGCTTGCTTTAGGTTCCCTAGAACAGTGTCTCTCAACCTTTCCAGACCACTGTTCCCCTTTCACGAGTCTGATTTGTCTCGCGTGCCCCCACGTTACACCTCAGTTAAAAGCTACTTGCTTCCACATTCAGACATAAAAATACAGAAGTGTCACAGAGCACTGTTACTGACAAATTGCTTCCTTTCTCACTTTTATCATATAATTATAAAATAAACCAACTGGAATATATATATTGTAATTACATTTCAGTGCATAGTATATGGGGCAGTATAAACAAGTCATTCTCTGTATGCAATTGTCGTTTGTACGGACTTTGCTAGTGCTTTTTATGTTGCCTGTTGTAAAACTAGGCAAACGTCTAGATGAGTGGATGTACCCCCTGGAGGACCTCTGCGTACCTCCAGGGGTACGTGTACCCCTGGTGGAGAACCACTGCCCTAAAATATTCTACCCTCCACGTCTACCAATGCATCTAGGTGTTTTATGTTCTGTTCCAGCAAAAGAACCCCACAGCCGCACAACTTGAATTCGAGTTATTTCCCCCAAAGCTACCAAAAAACGCAGTGAATGTCTCTTTCTGATCTTGCACCTTAAGAAATGCAGAAATAGAAATGTAGATCCCTAGTTTCTAAGGCCAGAAGAGACCACTGTGATCAGGCCATAATAGTCTTTCCCCGAAATCTTTCAGCAAAATTATTTTTGCTAGTTAGTAGAGCTGGTCAAAACATTTTGATGGAATATGCATTTTCAACTAAATAAAAACGTTTACAGACAGTATCTGCTTTCCTTGACAACTTTTGATCAGAAACCCAAAACCCAAGTTTTTCCAGTTTTCAGCCAAATACGTTTCCATTTTCGGAGGAAATGTTTTGGCTTTCAGTTGCCAAAAACTGAAAACATTTGGCTAAAAACAACAAGAAGAAGAAAGTCAGCTCAATCTTCAGGTTTTCAATGTTCATGTTTTTGACAAACCTTAAACATTTGCCATGGGAAAAAAATCCCATTTTCCTTCTTAGTAATACATCCCTCTACTGTAAAAGATGGTGCAGAAATATTCTGTACTGTAAATTCAACTCTTGGGTAAAAATAGGCAGGAACACATCATAAATTACAATCCAGTTTTATTGGACACATACCAAACAGTCAAAAGGGAGTATAATTATTGTTTGTCATTATTATTGAAGAAGTGTAGAAATCTGTAGCCTTTTTTAGTGGTGCATTCTCAAAAAATAACATGAAGGAATTTCATGGCAAACCTGGTATTTATAAACTGGATAGTACACATGAAGGTGGTTTGTTCAGATTAATTTTCGCTAAAACACACAGTTCTGGAGATTTTTGCGGTACCATTGCTACTGATGACTATACTCACAAGAAGTGCAATATAAAATAAAATTATCGAGTATTTCTGGGCCAGATTCAAATTTCAATTACAAATACGGAATAACTCTATCGAGACCAAGGGACATATTTCCAGATTTACATCAGTGTAATTTACATCAGAGTCTAACCCCCTTGGACAAAGATATTCTTCTCATCTGCTGTATATGTTACTTGAATTTTCCACATAAGTGTTTTAGGAATTGTACTATAATTTTCTTAATATCAAATTAATCAGACTTAAAATTGCCCTGTTGGAAAAGTTAACTGTTCTTAAAGGTATTTTTTTAAACACAGATCCACTTTCTCTCCTTCTCTTTGTATTTCTCTTTCAACACTGTGGAAACTCCAGTGCAGCGATCTCAGGTGGAATTTTCAAAAGCACTTATGGGAGGTATGAATTGGGGCCAGATTTTTAAAGATTTTTAGGCACCTAGTGAGACTACATGTAAACTGCATGGTAAATCTCATGTTTGCTTTTGGTTTAGTTTTGAAAATGTAACACAACAGGGTAAACTTTCCTTTCAATAAGAGAACATGAGGATTAGTATTTGATAAGCCATTTGTAAATCTAATCCGCATGGCTGTAGCCAACATTTGCAAACACAGTTATCTAAAGTCAGTTTCACAACTTTAATTCCCTTCCTTAATCAATATCCAGGGTCTGAATATATGGCCTTATTTTCAGAAGTGCCGAGTGCTCACAGCATCATTGACTTCAACAACAGTTGCAGCTGCCGAGCATCTGTGACGAGTAGGCTACTCATTTTAGGAACCTACATATAGATTTTGGGAGAGATCTTCTCAAGCACTAAAGAGATTAGCAGCACGAGTCCTAATGACTTTCAACTGGACGCATGTGCCTAAATCCACTCGGCTCTTTTGAAAATGTCTCCCTTAGATTCTTAGGCTTGGGTGCCAGGTTTGAAAATGCTGACAACCTCTCAGGCCACACAGAATGCAACAAAGGCCCCTGTTCACTTACACAGAGACTTAACGTTTAAACAAAGGTTTAGGTCCCTTTTAGAAAATGCTCAAGCACACACGTAACTTGAGCACGTTTAACAGCTTTCCTGAATGAGGACGCAAGTGCTTAAGAACTACTATACCAGGAGGCAAAGAAACAGCCATTCACACTAGAATTATGAAAGGGGTGGCTGAAGGAATTCAAGATGCTACGGGGGTTTCTTGGCAATGTGATGGATTGTTGCCGCAGGGGCTAGTATCAAGAGGCAGTTATGCAGGGTATGTGTGTGGGGGGGTGTATATCTATTACTTGAGTTGTGGGGAATTCCTCAAGCTTAACTTTTTATGGTCTTTTTGCTGGAAGAGGTTGTGGAGACAATTTTCACGCCCACGCTGGTTCCCACCCCAGCGCCTATCCCGCTTCCGGTGCTGAAATTTCCTCCTCCAGCACTCAGCCCGCTGCCACCTCCGTAGCCAAGGCCACTGCCCCCTCCGAAGCTGACTCCGCTTCCAAAGCTGAACCCTCCGCCTCCGAGACCAAGACCACTTCCAGCTCCATAGCTGAATCCTCCTCCGCCTCCTGCTGAGCTAAAGCCGCCAGATCCTCCTCCCAAACCAGCTCCGCCACCAACTCCAGCACTAGAGCTGACCACCGCTGCAAGAAAACCACAGCCTGGTCAGATGCCCAGTTGAATCAGATATTCGGTTCCAGTGAAACATGGACTCTTAACTGGCCCTACTGGTAGGGTTGCCAAGCCTCCAGGATTGTCCCGGAGTCTCCAGGAATTCAAGATGACTCTTTAATTAAAGGCTACATCATGTGATGAAACCTCCAGGAATTCATCCAACCAAAGTTGGCAACCCTACCGACGGCATTGGGTATTGAACCTGGGACCTCTGACTCTAAAAGCGTGGGCTCCACCACTGGAGATAAAAGACTGCAGAGCCTCAGAGATAGCTAGGCACCCAAACTCCATTGAAATCAAGAGACAGTACCTGTCTAAATGAGCTGGGGCCAGACCGTGTAACTATCAAGAGGAGCAGACCCTTTAATGGCTTATGTGGGCCAGCCATAGAGGGAGAAAATACCCACACTTGCCTAGCACGGGTTTCATAAGCCCAGACACTGCCCCGGACAAGAGAGAGATACTCACAGTAGCTGACGGGGATGACGCCCTCTCCGCTCAGCCTGCGGGGGAAGGCAGACAAGAGGAAGGTAAAAGTCACATGGAGGAGTTCGGCTTTTAAGATCGACATACTGTAAATACAGCTGCTTTTTCCGGCCACCTTGCAGTGCTAAGATCTTCAAAGACTCATTGACTAAAAGGCCAGAATGGACTGTCATATTCATCTAGTCCATCGAAACAGTCTGTTTTCATGTTTTCCTAGGAGGCTAGTCTGTTTCTGTCCGTGGAGCCTAAATGCCTTTAAAAATCTGGCCCGAAGTGAATTGCTCAACATCACAGGAGAAGGGTGCAGTAAAGCAGGGAACCAGACCAGATTCTCCTAAATTGTAGACTAGACTAACCACTGTACCATCCGTCCTACCTGAATAGGGAAACCAGCCCCCAACAGAGTCATTGTAATTTTGCAAAAGATTAGCCACTCCGTGGGCTGGACTGAGAGTCAGCAGATGCTGCTCCCTGTGGTCCCTCCTCCATATGTTTGTTGTATCCACCTCTTGTCTCTTGTCCTGTGTGAGGACTTTGTAAGCTCTTTGGGGGCAGGGACTGTCCACCTCCTAGCCCAATGGGCTCTGGATCGCTGATTGGAACCTCTGGGTGCGACTTCAATACAAATAATAAAGTGACTTGGGTTCTATTCTGTCTCTGCCATTGGCTTGCTGTGTAACCTTGGGAAAGGAAGTATCTAGCTATCCCCATACATACACATCTATCTATCCATCCATCCTCCATACACATTCCTCTATCTGTCTATCTGTTATCCTGAATTGCTATATCAATCTGCATATATAACTTTCTCTCTCTCTCTATGTGCATACGTTATTATCTATCTATCTATCTAGGGATTTATATTAGACTCACCACTGTGTACACCTCAATTCTCTCTCAGGGCCTCAGTTTCCCTGTCTGTAGAATAGGAATAAAGACACTCCCCTCCCTCCATTGAAAAGTGCTTTGAGAGCTGTCAGTGGAGAGTGCTGTACCTCAGTGAGTCAGAAGCATTATGATCACTCTCATGATCTTGTACCTACCTGCTCTCCTCTCCCTCCAGTAGCTTCCTGTAGGTGGCGATCTCGATATCCAGCGCCAGCTTGACGTTCATCAGCTCCTGGTACTCCCGCAGCTGGCGCGTCATGTCTTGCTTGGCCTTCTGGAGAGCATCCTCCAGATCAGCCACCTTCATCCTGGCATCTTTAAGAGCCAGCTCACCATGCTGCTCGGAGTCTGCGATCGCCGTCTGCAGATTGGTGCACTGCAGGGGAAGGGAGTTGGCTTCCTTTTAATTACCAGTCATTTCTCTCTGTTTTTTCCCTCTCTCCTTTAACAGTGCAGAATTCACAGGCAGAGAGCTGACTCCTATCTGCCTTTGCTGCTGTTAGCACCAGGCGGGGTGACTGGCCTGTACATTTCCGTAGCCTCTGTTTGCCAGAAGCTGGGAATGAGCGACAGGGCATGGATCACTTGGTGATTACATGTTCTGTTCATTCCCTCTGGGGCACCTGGCATTGGCCACTGTCAGTAGACTGGATACTGGGCTAGATGGACCCTTGGTCTGACCTAGTAGGGCCATTCTTATGTTCTTATGTTCATTGCAGCTCTTTGCTGCATCATCGTCACCACTAATCTGGGCTATGCTACTGAGGCAAAAGATACAGTCAGAGAGTGGAGACTGATTTATATGTACTGCTGATAAGTCTTGTGTTGGAGTGTTTAGAGCTATGGCCATCTCTGCAGCGTACAAACTATTGTGAAGGGTGAGTCTCTGGCTTAGCAGGAATGATTTCGTGCCATGGAGAAAAGGCAGATATGTACGTAGGTGAGCACGCATGCACACCACTGCCCTCTGCTGGGTGGAATGAAACTACTTAAGTGTGACATGTCGCCCTCTACTGACTGCAGCTGGTGTGGCTGTACTGCAGCTGATAGCGTGGGGCGGAGGGCAGGAAACTGGGTGACAGGAGCAGGCAGTTCTGTCTTCTCCTGTCTCTAGTGATAGCCCAGGGGTGGCCAACCTGTGGCTCTGGAGCCACATGCGGCTCTTCAGAGGTTAATATACGGCTCCTTATATAGGCCCCGACTCCGGGGCTGGAGCTACAAGTGCCAACTTTCCAGTGTGCCAGGGGGTGCTCACTGCTCAACCCCTGGCTCTGCCACGGGTCCTGCCCCCACTCCACCCCTTCCCATGCCCTCCCCTGAGCCGGGCGTGCCCTCGCGCCTCCCCCCCTCAGAGCCTCCTGCATGCCACGAAACAGCGGATCGGGAGCTAGGAGGAGGCGCTGGGAGCGGGGTGTGTGTGTATGTGCTGCTGACATGTTACTGTGGCTCTTTGGCAAGGTACATTAGTAAATTCTGGCTCCTTCTCTGGCTCAGATTGGCCACCCCTGTGGTAGCCGTTCCTACCTGGCTCCTTGCATTCTCAGTCTCAGCCCGTAACCTCTGGATCAGCCGGTTGAGCTCTGAGATTTCTCCCTTTGTGTTCCGCAGGTCATCGCCGTGTTTCCCAGCAGTGGCTCGCAGCTCCTCGAACTAATATTCCGAAACAAGAGCAAAATATATATATATATACACATATATACAACCTAATGCCCAGCCATGCACTTTACCGAAGCAGCCATCCATTGGGGCGGCAATAACTACATAGCTCTGTGCACTGTTTTTAAAGAACTGAACACCCAGAGAAGCATCCGGGGTCCTCCGTTTATAGATCCGTTCACCTTGTTCTGATACCATGACTCAGCCTCAGCTCGGCTCCTGTTAGCAATGTCCTCGTACTGAGCTTTGACTTCATTCACGATGCTGCTGAGGTCCAGGTCTCGGTTGTTGTCCATGGACAGGATGACGGAGGTGTCAGACACCTGGGCATTCAGCTGGGCCAGTTCCTGCAGAAGTACATGAGCGTCTGAGTCACCTTTAGAGCAGAAATGTTCCGAAAATGCTGCACGTGATTCTCCTTCCATGTACACAGGTGCAAATCAGGAGAAAGTCCATTTGGGCCAGTGAAGCTGCTCTGGATTGACAGTGGTGTTGCACATCAAAAACGAGTTCACTATCTTTTGAAGTTTAGGTCCAGATTCCAGTGTAAATCTGTGTAAATCCAAAGTGACTCCACACCTGTATCAATCCAGAGTGACTCCACAGAAGTCAATGAGGTTACTCTGGATTTACAAAGGGGTAGCTGAGATCAGAATCTGGACTCTAGCGTTTTTATTTAAGCCGAACACAGAGACAGGAGCACACTGGGAATTGATATTATTCAAAACCACACAGGGGATGTGAAGTCTGACAGTCTAGCAGTCTGAGAAGGTAAAGCTGAGTGGTACATAGTCACTGCAGAAGCCCTAAGTAATACAGTAGTTATGTACTTAGAAATTCTAAAGATTATTCTCTCGTACGATAAAAAGGCATGTGTTTTTATTTATATTGCAGTCGCACATAGAGGCTTCAGCCGAGGTAAGGGCTGCATTGGGTCAGGCATCGTATCAACACAGAATGAGATAGACCCAGCCTTGAAGACCTTATGATAGAAGTAGACAAAACAGCAATGAAATGACTTGACTCCAAGATCACACAACGGCTAAGTAGCAAAGTTAGGAACAGAACCCAGGTCTACCGACTGCCAGACCAATGCCCTATCCAATGGACAAAACCACCTTCTGTGGTGGTGGTCTTGATTCCCTTCCACATTAAGCCTGCTCATGAACATAGGCCATATTTAATTTCCTAGCAAAGATGCCAAGAGAAGAAGCAATACCGCATCGTAGAGGATTCTGAGGAAGTTGATCTCATCCATCAACTCATCCACCTTGGCCTCCAGCTCTATCTTGGTCATATAGGCGGCGTCGACATCCTGAGAAACACCAAGCAGAGTCACAACGGCAGCCTAGCAGCCTTGGCTGGAGCAGAAAAGAAGCTAAGGATTGACTAGGAGTGAAGATCAAGCTGCCTTTCCGGCTCTTTGTGGGCTGGGGAAGTTGGTAGAGACACTTCATTGCATTGCTGACTTTTAAAGGGCAAAGCTCACCTAAGGGGTGCATAGAGCTTATAGGGGAAGAACTCTGAAGCATTCTGGGCCAAAGATAGGGAGAGTGTAAAGCCTTGGGTGTATTTTTACCCAGCTGGGCTCACATGGGGGTTGCTCACAATCTCTCCCTTACCCTTCTGTCAGGTCCAGGCCAGCTCTAGTGTAGTGTCAGGGGTGTGGGAGTGGGGAAAAGATGCTACCTCCAGCCCACTTGGAAGACCTAGTGGGACAATTGAACCTTGTACGGCCAAGGAGGCATTTCAATGGGATTTGAACACCAAGCTCTCTTAGGCACCTTTGAAAATTTCAGCCTCCGATACCGAAAACACTATGAAAATTGAAATTGATCTTAGCACGGCTCACCTTCTTGAGCACCACAAACTCATTCTCTGCGGCTGTGCGCCTGTTGATTTCGTCTTCGTATCTGTAGGGATGGAGGGGAAGCAGGGCTAGATCTTGTTCATGGAATAGGAGAAGGCAGGAAGGCAAGAATTTCTTGGCTGAGCTCCCATTTGCAAATGCCTGTTTCTACGATTAACCTTTCTTGAAGCATAGTTATCTTTTCTACTGAAATATAGGGTAACGCTTTTTACAAGTTGCACTTCTTTTGGTTTCAGAGTAACAGCCATGTTAGTCTGTATTCGCAAAAAGAAAAGGAGGACTTGTGGCACCTTAGAGACTAACCAATTTATTTGAGCATGAGCTTTCGTGAGCTACAGCTCACTTCATCGGATGCATACTGTGGAAACTGCAGAAGACATGCTGGTTCTTTGAAGTTTTGGCTTCAAAATGGGAATGTAGATGTTTAGAAAAAAGGGAAATCTTCCCAGACACTATCTTCATGAGCTGCAGCCCAGGCCAGCAATTGACTTTCACTTCAAAATTTAGCTTCACAACATGATCTATATTTTAAACCTCTCTAAAATGCGGAGGGGGTCATCTTAAAGCATGAGCCTCTGCTGATTAAACTAATGGAACAAATGCACTTGTTTGGAGCAGTAGAAAACTCATAAACATTCTTTGTTCACCAGCCACTAGACTCACATGGTGTTCCATATATCTCCTCAGCAAACATGCTCCATCTCCTGGTTTTTGCCCCTAACACACTCACATGTGCAGGCTTAAGATTTGGGCCATGTTTGTTGGCAATGCCTGGTGTAAGCATGAAAAAATGTGTGAGCCGGTTGGAGAATGGAATTTCCCCTCTGGGGGAAATTCAGACATTTCAAAATTTGTTATCATTCTGAATCAGAACAGAAAGTTGGCATTTTGACATTTTTCTCAGTGTGGAAATTCTGAAAACTTTTAATTTGAAACTTTGAACTGTTGTCTTCCGGTGATATCAGATTGTTTTGTGCAGATAATGTTAAAATATGATAGTATAATATTAAATATGTGTCTGTAAAATATAAACTGTAATATATAGTTCAAATTATTCTACCATAAAAGTTCAAACAAAATGAAACAAAACAGTAAAGTCCAAATGAAACTTTTTAACATTACCAGCATGAAACGAGAGTCAAAACAATTCATTTGAATGCTTTTCCCTTGAACATTTTGTCAAAATCAACATGTCCCCATGAAACTTTTTGACTGCCTTTTCCAACAGAAAACTGGTCCCTCTAATTTTTTTCAGCTAGACCTAATCGCAACAAAGCTACTGTACAGGGACCTGACATCCATCTTCCAACCTGGAACAACTGTAGAGTGTATAATTCAGCACAGATCAATTCAATGTCCATCTGTTAAACGTTCACTTACTTGTTCTTAAAATCCTCCACAAGGTCCTGCGTGTTCTTCAGTTCGCCCTCCAGCCGCCCTCTTTCATTTAACAGGTTGTTGAGCTGCTTCCTCAGGTTGTTGATATAAGACTCAAAGAGGGGCTCGAGGTTATTCTTGCTGGAATTGGATTTCTGACCCTGATCCTGCAACAGGGTCCACTTGGTCTCAAGCACCTTGTTCTGCTGCTCCAGGAAGCGGACCTAAAACTCAACAGGCAAAAGAGATTTAATGGAAGATATTCGCAAACATGTTAAGACCTGAGATTCAGTAACTTGGCAGTTCAGGGGGCAGGAAAGGACATATTAAATGAATCCCTATATTTTCTCAAAAACAAAGGGCCAAATCCTCAGGGTCTCTCACATTAACGGAGTCTTTAGCCAAGCGATTCTCCCATTGACTAGCTCAATTCCCGAGGCAGGCTGGTATACTAGCTAGGACAACATAGACTGGGACTCAAGAGATCTGGGTTTTATTCCTATCGCTGACCGTCTGTGTGACTTCTGTGCCTCAGTTTCCCCATCTTTGTAAGTGGCGTAATGATATTTCACTTCCTCTGTCGCTAAGTATTGGCTTACTCCAGTTTTCCTTCATTTGGGCTCAGTCTGGACTCAGGTGTACTCCACTTTATGGCATTTTCCTGAGCAGACCCAAGTAAAGACCTCAATACAGAAAAATGGAGTTGTACCTAAATAGGAACTGAGAGAAAATGGATCTAGGACCTCAGCTTGTGATCAAGCATTAGCAGAAAGGTGAGTGTTAGAGGAAAGGCCCCAATCAGAGACGAACACCATTTTTCACTGACATTTCAAATTGTGTCCCAAAAAGGGATTAAAAATATTAATGAAATAATTGTGAATTTTGCAATCTATATTTCACATTTTCCCTCTTTCTGTGTGTGTTTGGGGGTGGGGTGGAGCAAATCAAGTCCCTGTGTGTTCAGTTTCCAATGTTAACCACTGAGAAATTTGGATTCTAGTAGCTATTTAGAAGCACATTCATTTACTGGAAGATTTGAATCAATCAATGCAAAGAGGAAACATTTGCCGGGTGAGAGACTTATTAACTCATGGGTTTTTGTAGATGTCCAAATATGAAAACATGCCTTTTCCATTCCTTTCCACCTATCTACCTTCCTCCGCCTCCCTCCCATCACCGTAGTTTCTGATAAACTCTCACCTTGTCAATGAAAGAAGCAAATCTGTTGTTGAGACTCTTAATCTGCTCCTTCTCCTCTTTTCGCACCTGTTGGATATTTGGGTCAATCTCCAGGTTCAGTGGCGCTAGGAGGCTTTGGTTGATGGTCACTTCTTGGATGGTACCTATGCCAGGTGAATTGCCACCCCCAAATCCTGCTGGACTTCTACCTCCACCAAAGCCTCCCCCGCCACCAAAACCAAGCCCACTGCCACCAAAACCAAGCCCACTGCCACCAAAGCCAAATCCACTCCCAGCGGTTCCAGCACCAACACTGAGCCCACCACCGCCAGCTCCCCCGCCAAAGCTAGATCCGCCACCATGACCTCCTCCCCCAAGACTGAAGCCTCCACCAGCTCCGCCCCCGAATCCACTCCGGAGGTTGCTCCCACCACCGATGGAAATTTTCTTAGTGCCCCCTAGGTTATAGAGGCTCCTGCTGCCAAAGCTGCCTCCGGCGCCGAGCCTTCCAAAACCTCCACCGCTTCTTGACACGGCGACCGAACTGAAGCTGGCTCTGTGGCTACTTGGAACCACAGCAGAGACGGTGCTGAAGCTCTTGCCCCCACCTCCGCTTCGGATGCTGCCGGATTGCCAGCTCATTGTGGCGGGCGAGATCAGCACTGCTGTGAGAAAGGAGCGGAGTCGCCGAGCGGTGCCCTCTGGTGAACACCCCACCGGAGCCTTGCCCCTTTTATCCTTTCGGGGATCTGGGCTGGGTTGCCTGGAAGTGAAACGATCAGTTTAGTGCCTTAATGGTTTTGACATTCCTGGCAGGCCGGTGTCAAAATGAACTTGTTAAACGCTCATTGAACTCAAACACTTCCGTGGAACTGATGGGAGTCTGATAGGCTTTGACCCAGCAAAAGGGTTATCTAGCACCTCATTTTAGTGCAGTGACTTCTCAAACATGGAGCTTTGCTTTCAGAGGCAAACTGATTTTATTTTCCTGCTGCAAAACAAAGGTGTTTCGATCTGAATGTGCCCCGAACTACAATCCATGTTTTGAGAACCAATTAGCACGCTCATCTAAGTCAGCGATGGTTGCACATTGGTTTCACATACCCCCAAGTGGCAATCATCCAAAGCTGTTCAGTTACTATGTACCGTGCTGTAACATTGCAAGGGGCTGAAAAGCCCAATTCTCAAGTGACAGCCCTTAGCATGAATAATGCAGGTGGAAACTGCAGGGCCCGATGAAGCCGGTCCTCTACTGGCTTTCACTGTTGCAGACAGTAAGCTGAAGCCCCCAAGGTAAATGAATGCCCCCAGGAACAGAGGTGGGTGGAATACGTCAATTTCCAGGATTATCCATCTGGTATCTTACCAAAGCCCTCCATTCATTGAAAAGATGCACTAGCTAAAACAACTTATTCATTATCAAGGTGGATGGGAGACTTGTCTGAATTAATTTGAATGAAAGTCAGTGGCGTCTATATCCTATTAGTGCCTTCAAAAATCTCCTGCTTACTAATGCTGGACAAACATGTCATGAGGATCCTTGGCCTGGAGGCACGGAACAGCTGTTTGGCAGCTGCACTGGCCTGATGATCATTGACAAGGACAGCTCTATTTAGGGGCCATGATTTGTGCAGTCTTCAAATTGATTGCTCGTATGGTAGTGTGGCGTAGTGGGTAGAGCACTGCATTGGCACTCAGGAGACCTGGAGTCTCTTCCTGGCTTGGCCACTGGGTGACCATGGCAAGTGACTTCCCCACTCAGTGCCTCAGTTTCTCCATCTGTAAACATAAATGTGACTAATGATAGTGCTCTCTTTTGTAAACCACTTTGAGACCTATGGATGAAAAACATTATAGAAAAGCTAGGCATTGTTATTATTACATTCATACTCTCACGATAAGCTGTTTGAGGAAGGGACTGTCTTTTTCTTCTGGGTTTGTACAGCACCTTGCACAATGGGGCCCTGATCCTTGACTGGGGCTCCTAGACACTACAGCAGTAAAATTAATAATAAATAATAATAATAATAATATTGATACAGTAAGGAGAAGCATTTGGTCCAGAACCTGAAACCCTTCCTCTTTTGGTACTGAGGGCTTACTTTAGGGTTGCCAAGCCTCCAGGATTGGCCTGGAGTCTCCAGGAACACATCCAAACAGAATTGGTAACCCTAGTTTACTTAGATAAACTCCCAAGGGGAATCACGGTTGAGCTCTCGAAGTTGAGAATTTCTGAAGACATGGCAGCACAAATCGTTCTTGGAAAGGTCAGAAAGAAACGAACATTTTTAATTCGATTCAAAGTTTTCCAGTGGAAAATTTCACTTCAGTAGGAAGAAAACCAAACCGCAAAACACCCTCCCTTCCCCCCACTCACACACTTTCTCCCCCACAATAAAAAAAAGTAAATATCTGATAGGGTTTATTTCCCCAACTGAAAAGAAATGCAAGAAAAAAATTTGAGGTTTTTTTTCCAAAGGGCAATTTGTTGTGAAAATATTTAGTTGCTCTAAAAAGGGGGGTTTCCTCTGGAAAAGAACTGGGGTTGGAATTTTTTTTGGACCAGCTTCATGTGGAATTACATTAATTATATATTCATTTTAAGAAATGATGATAAAATAAAATAATAAAACTATCGTCATCATGGGATAGGTCAGTGGTTTGAGCTTTGGCCTGCTAAACCCAGGGTTGTGAGTTCAATCCTTGAGGGGGCCATTTAGGGATATAGGGCAAAAATTGGGGATTGGTCCTGCTTTGAGTAGGGGGTGGGACTAGATGACCTCCTGAGGTCCCTTCCAACCCTGATATTCTATGATTCCTTGAGAAAAATAGCTTGCACGGCAGCCTACAATTTTCAGGTTTGGGGTTTTCGTTTCTGTGACAAATGTTGAAACTTTCCACTGCAAATCTCCATGGAAACCAAGACATTTTGTTTTAGCGGAAATTTTCCATGGGGAAAAATATTCCAACCAGTTCTACATCTAGTTTTTGGTCATCTTTCTTCCATGAGCCCCCGATACAACAGAATGGCGAAAGCCTGCAATGCATTTGTATGCAGTCACCATGAGCTCAATTCTGCAAAGCTCTGCTCTTCTCTTGGGCCTGGAGGTTTGAAATTATTACTTTATTTCGCCTTTGAACGAGTTACACGGTCCTGCAATTGCTCCACGCATAGAACTGCCCAGTGAAGAGAATGGATGTTTGACTACGTTTTATCAGGACCAATGAGAACCAAGCGTCCCCTCTGTCTCCTCTGGGGGAGCTCTATGCATGGAGCAACCGCACAAGTATGTGATTTGTTCAAAGATCTGGAGGCAGGAGAAAAGCAGGGGATTGGGCCTGCTTTGAGCAGGGGGTGGGACTAGATGACCTCCTGAGGTCCCTTCCAACCCTGATCTTCTATGATTCTATGATTCTAACCAAACAGACTGATTGCCAGAACTGCCCCCTTCCTTTTGCACTCGATGGGTATGTCTACACTGCATCTGGGACTGAACCTCCCAGCCTGGGTCCGCAGACTTGTTCTAGCAGGGCTTGCACTAGGAGTGCACACTAAAGCCCCCTGTGAAGATGGCGCTTTGAGGCTGCAACTCTGAGGGAGGTGGACCTGAGAGCCTGAGATTCAGGCCGTGACCTCAGTAGAGTTACACCCAGGATCAAGGTGGCCCTGTGCATTTGAGGAGCTGGGTTTGGTTACATGGGAAACCAGAGATGAACAGAGTGCCTTGATGGGCTTGGTCTGCCTGGGAGCAATATGAGAAAGTTTTTATACTCCGCTAAGTAAAGACAAACACTACACACCTATTTAATAGTGCGTGTCAGCATTTCACTCCGCTGACAGTGAGATGTCTTTCTGACCGGCTTTTATGCAGCAAATAGGAATTAATCACATTGTTCCAGTATTTGCCAAAAATTGTTTCACCCAGTTTGTTTTTCACAGGGAGAGACCCGGCTGCCGAATTTTAAAGCAAAGATGTAACCTGAGGATCTGGCAACCATATAAAGTATTTTACACACAGAGAAACAGAGTGGGGATGGACTAGATGACCTCTTGAGGTCCCATCCAACTCTACTTATCTATGATTCTATGTGAACCAAATTTTGCTGGCACAAAAATGGGCCAACACTGAATCAAAAGGGGCTCATGCATGTCGACATTGTGAATTTGCTGTTTTTATTCAAACATATTTTAACAAACTTTTTTGTAGGAAGATCCACCTCCAACTCTATAGCATTTTAAATCTCTGTTTGAGCAAGTTATCTGTAAGGCCTTGATTGTGCAAGCACTTAACGCGTGTGTTTAGTGTAAAGCACATGACTGTTCCACTGAAGCTCGTGGGACTGCTCATGCACTGGAATTTAAGCCTCAGCATCAGTGTTTGCAGGACTGGGGCCTAAATGCACATTGACCTGGTTTCTCTGGCAGAAAAAACAAGTAACTACATGCTTAAGTCCTGTTCAAACCAATGGGAGCTGCATGCTTAAAGCTGAGCATATAAAGTACTTAAGTGCTTTGCTGAATGAAGAAGGACTGCTGGTTTGAAGCGACAAAGTAAAATGAACAAATTCTTGCCAGTGCAGTCAAATTAGGACAGTAAAAGTTTGGCCATAGAAATCTAGCTTCTAGTTGCAGGGCCGGATTCCCAGCTGATGTAAAAAGCCCATGGAAGGAATTTTGGGCCTGATTTATACCATCTGCGGTCTTGCCCAAAGTTCAAACTCTTAGAACACATTGACTTGTCCAGGTAATACACGAAATACAACCACCAAGAGCTATGGGAGCGTCAGATCGTGGTCATGCTGTCTTGATCCCGCTGAAGGAGAATGACCGTAAAGCTGATGAACGACTTCAGCTCCAATGTTAAATATGAAAAAATATAATGAGATTAAGGGTGTGACCTGGCCCAACAGGAGTGAGGACACTCTCCGTTCAGGTTCCCACACTATCCCTCATTCAGTCTATTGTGTATGAGGTATGCAAATAATGCAAGGGGTGCGGAAAAGGCATCACTCTCTTCCTTGACTCTCCCTCACCCAGTTCATCTGTGTGTAGAGGAGGCAGCTATGGATGGGCTACACAGGGAACTGCCCGTCCAGGGCCAAATTTGGCTCTCAGTCACACCGCTGTCAATCTGGATCTGCTCTGTTGGATTCAATGGAGTGACAGTGGTAGAAATCCAAAGTGCCGAAGAGCAGAATTTGGCCCTCAGTGTGCACTGGATTTATGGAGCCAGATATTCAGCTGGTGTAAATCAGCCTGGTGCCATTACAAATAATCCAGCCCATGCTCCCTGCAGTTTCCCCATGGCAGCTCCATCCACTGGGCCAGTGTTACAAACTCCAGAGAATTCAATAGTGGCTTCGAAAAGGGCCCCTCTGTGTTCCACACCCAGGTATGAGATTGATGGGCCAGATGCCCACATTTTCAAAAGCTGCCTCTCATTTTGGGTGCTGAAATTTGAGATACCCTGGGTCTGATTTTTCAGACGAGTTCACTATCCACAACCCCAGCTGGAGTCAGTGGAACACAAATGCCCCCCAAATCCCCATTGGAGAGATGAAGGGACTTGACCAAGACCACCCAAGAAGTCTGAGACAGAGCAAGAAATTGAACCCAAATCTCAGGCCGGTGTCACACCCAC